AAAAAAAAAAAAAAAAAAAAAAAAAAAAAAAAAAAAAAAAAAAAAAAAAAAAAAAAAAAAAAAAAAAAAAATCCTCGATTGACCACGAGACTGAGTTAGTGTCCAAATCAACTATTCCATAAGAAAATTTGACCGTGAGCAATAATAAAGTGAAGTTGAGGATCCTAACATTTCAATTATGACACTGTGACCTATTATAGGTACTCGACGACAGTGCCAAATAGGAGTATAAGGAACCTAGTTCCAATCAATGTACCCAACTCACCCGTGGTCAGCTTAACATCACATTGAACTCGATATTAACTTAAGAATCAAAATATGTGAGATAAAACATCGTTCAAAGTTGATGCATAACCATGGGTGTTGCCAATCAAATTAACTTAATTATTAAATAATAATAATAAAAGAAGAAACAAACGAAAGGTGTGCATCCCATTTTTAGGCTTTACGTAATAAGCTTTATTAGACACTTTTTTGAATATTAAGGCCAAATAAAAATAAAATTAAAGATTTAAACATATTTTCTAAAAGTTAAAAGGGTAAAGTTGTAATTAAAAAAAAAGTAGTTAGAAGCAAATCATAAACCCTAAAATAAAATCAGGTTTGTAAATAAAACGTGTAAAGGAGAACACTTAGGTCTGTAAATAGTGATTCCGTTGTAGTTAGACTGAGACTGACCAACACTTGGGTCTGTAAATAAAATTCAAGGCTTAAAGGTGTAAAGGGCACTTTAGTCGAGAGGTGGCTCGTTTCAAATGCATGCCCATTTGGATTACCTAATTATAATCGGTTCAAATTCTTTTGATCTTGTTCGAAAGAAAAATTTAGAATCTAAGGTTAGTTCTCCTATGAATACATTATTATTATTATGACTTAGATAGGTCATAATGAGTTAAGGTAAAATATTTGTAATACTCTTTTCATCATTTCGTATTTAGACATTAAAATATATATGACAATCATCACACTAATATACGATAAGTCATGTCACTCTAAAGAAATATCTAAATTAAAAATAGTACTGATTTTTTTCAACAAAAAATAATCTTAATTCTTTCTATAGTTGTGAAAACATAATTTACATAACACCTATGAAAATTATTATTTATTATTATTTTAATATGAAAATTATTATTTATTATTATTTTAATGTGGACAAAAGGAAATTTACTTTAAAATACTAAATTTAAATATTTTTTTTTTTTTTTGGGAAGTATAATAACTAAATTTAAGTGTATATATATATATATATTTAAGTATAAATAACTATATTATAATATTAAATTTTGAATTTTAAAAGTTAGGTTAACAATTATATTATATTTTTGCTTACAAAATATTATTAGATTTATTCGATGGTAGGTTTCTTTAATAGAAATTAATTATTGAAAAAAATTTTAAAAATATATAAAATGTAACGATCCTAAATTTTTTACTTAATATTAGCGTATACATATTATGAACATTAAATACGGAAATACTTTTATTTAAACTTCTTCATAAAACATAAATTTCATCCTAAAATAAACTTACGTATTCAAAAATATCTTTAAAATGACATAACAATAAACTAAATGAAATAAATAAACATTTAAATTAAAATTCATCTTAAAATACAACCATGAACTTTCCAGTTCGAAAATATCTTTAAAACGACGCAACAATAAACTAAATGAAACAAATAAACATTTAAATTAAAAACAACGTATTCCAGCCTAATTCTAAGAAAATAAATCAAACGTCGTCAGTGGGATGCCTTGCCTTTACCTGAAATAGAAATAGCACGTAGTTTGAGTATTTTAAGAAATACTCAATAAGTGACCCCAGTATTGGGATTAAATGCAAACACGTACAATTTCATGAATGAAAACTATCTTAACAGTTATTTTCCTAGGCAGCCATCCTAATAGGTAACTTGAATGTGTAATTAATTTCCCTACACAGTCCACATGTGCGAGTATGGACTCACAGTCAGTTCGCACACCTCTTGGGTCCCTTTCTGGTTATGCGAGTATTTTTTTGGGAGTTGTTGATGCCGGACACCCGTTAGGAGTAGTGACTGTCACGGCAACATTATTACAACATAATGATCGTTCTCTCACCTCGTAGCGTACACGTCCGTACTATCGTGAAAGATAAGGGGTATCCCCCAATGTATGAGCACACAATATTGCACGAGGTCTCAACATTTTTCCATTTTCATTATCATTTAATACAACCCCGCAAATGTCTTCCTTCATATCATATCATTTCTCATATCGTCTATCATATCATTTATCGTATTTTGCATGCGTATGTCGAGGTTGTATTTCATGCTAGTTCGTTCTTTTGCATGTCAATCATATCATTCATGTCAACCTATATCATATCCTAACCCTTATATATTTCAAACATAACAATTCATATCGTGAACATATCATATCGTAAATTATAACAATTACATAGTATATTCCAGACATGCCTTCAACCTAGATGAAGAAAATTTTCATTTCACAACGATCAAAATTAAAATAAGAGACAAAAGAATACGGGGACAGATCTAAACATGTATGATGACTATCTGAAACTAAATAAATATAAAAGAAATAAAGAAAGTCAACATATTTATACATAAATTGCTTCTCTATCTCAACGTGGTGCCCATTAAAACCCCAAAACAAAGCAGCAAAGAAGCTTCAATTATAAACCCCTAAGCTTTCATTTCAAACCCATACTTCCAAAATGAAAAGTCCCATTTCAAACCCCATTTTATTGCTTCTTCTTTCACTTCCAACACCCTTCCACTTAGCCTTCAGTTTGGACATAATCCAACGCTCCTGCAAATCGGCTGCAAAAACAGACCCATACGTCGATTACAAACTCTGCGTCCAAACCCTCAGAGCCAATCCCAATTCCAAAGCCGCAACGTTCAAGGAATTGGTTCTGATTTCGATAACCCAATCGAAGGCCAATGCCACAGAGATTGGGTCTGAGATTTCAGAGCTTCTGAAAGGCAGTGAGAGATGGGGGAAGGGGAAGTATTCGTTGGGGTGTTTGAAGGGCTGTTTGGAGATTTATTCAGAGGCTGTTTCCGGGTTGGAATTGGCTTTGGGAGCTGTGAAAATGGGGGATTATGAAACGGCGAATATCAAGGTGAGTGCGGCCATGGATGCGGCATTGAGCTGTGAAGATGGGTACAAGGAGAAAGATGGGGAGGTTTCTCCTTTGACGGAAATTAATTGTGGGTTCTTTCAGTTGAATGCTATTTCTCTTGCTTTTATCAATATGGCTCTATGATTCCATGGATGGTTTCTATGGAGGACAAGGAAGAGAAATTTCCTGTGTTTTGAGGGGGTTTCTAGCAAATTATGGTATTTTGTTTTGTTGGAGTGTTAAGAGTTTTTAATGTTATCTTCTTTCCTTATTTGGAGCAATAAATATTTGACATAAAAAAAAAGAATTTTAAAAAAGGTTGGAGCCATTCGATAACCCGGTAATTTTCTGTTTTTGTGGACTAATGGTTCATCCTTAGAAGCTTGCTTTCCTTAAAGAAAAAGAAGCTTCCTTCCCACTCAACGTTGTGGACAATTTTTTCGCAATTTAATGTTTAGAAGGTGTTCTATACAACGATGAAAGAGGATCGATTTTTCAATTGAATGAAGGGATTCCAACCTATACCAAAATGTTGAAGACATATGGCCTCAATAGGGAACTAGCCAAATAGATTAAAGTAGTTAGCTTGGGAAGTCGAGATCAGACCGGGGGCAAAGGTTGCCTCCCAAAAGAAGTCTAGTTTGAGGCCAATAAAACCGAGCTCAAGATAGAGTCGAAAAAGGAGAAGGAAAGATGGAAAGCTTCATCAGCTCGAAGCCCTAAAAAATGGAAAGTTCACTTTTTACCCAGATCCTTTCCTCATATCTAATGCAGAGAAAGCTCTGTTATTTGAAACTTTGAAAGCATAGTTACGCCTACTTTAAACAATGCCCCTCGTTTTCAATGAACTCCCACACTACAGCCACTACAGATCTCTATCTCAGAACAAGTTTAGGCTGCTCGATTACGTATTATTAATCAATAAAATGAAAATTTTGTCTAAGTCACTTCGTTTCTTTTTGTCCAAGTTTTTTCTCTTTTCGTCTAACTCACTTCCTTTTCTCTTTGTGAGTGTCGGAAATATCCCTACATTCATATATCCGAGATCCACATCTATGAATTGAAAGGTCCGAATGATCAACTCTCTAATCAGTTGTTAGAATCAATAGGTCTTCCGACCGTTCATTTGAAAAAATTGAGACCCTTCTAATTGGATGATCATGATACTCTCCAAAAATTGAAATTCTTAATCAATGGAGGAACAATATCACCATTTTTGTTCAATAAAGATATACTAAAGTGGATGATTGACTGATTCCATACAATAATTTAGAAAATCCTTTGATTACATGGATTTCTGTTCGAGTCACAAACCAAACAGACGCAACTTTTTTATTTTCTCCCTCTTTTTTTGGTGGGATTAGAAGGAAGAATTCAGCTTCAAACTAAGCAAATAAATGAAGGAAAAAAATCTGAGAATTATTTGAGGAAGGCGTACCTGATACAACAGGACAATCATTTGCCTCCACTTTCGAACAGAAAAGATATAACTGCAACTAGAATCTCTGTAGGATTTTCAATTGGAAAAATGAATGGCCAGTGCACATATACATTAGATGACAAAATTAGCCTCATAAAATCCCAAGCACAAAGTTGATCCATGTCAAAATTGGGCTGACTGCCCCTTGCCACATAGGAAGCAGGAGAATATATAGGTCATATCTGATACAATGGCATAGTTTCTGACTCAGATCAGCAACAGGGTTGTTGTCTCCATTGAGGTGAGGCTCCAAAACACAGCAGTGCAAGTCGTTGAGGATTTGAAATTGTACACAACGTCTTGCAGCCCCCACCCATCACAGATTGTTCATTTGAAGGATCAGAGTCTAATGCAGCTGGCTGGAAAGGATGAAGAGCATAATTTATCCAAACAAAAGAACCTTATACTTCAGCCGCTTGAAATGATTCATCATGCTCTTCCAATTCTTTGGCTTTGGAACCGAAACTGTCCAGGTTCGAGCCCAATATTCGATGATCAATAGTGTTCATCAGGGACGTCTGATCCATAGTTGCATTCCTCTTGTAATTCCATACAAGCATTGAAATGTAATCCTGGGGTGAGACAAGACCCTGTTCCGAAATGCATCTACGGTGCTCCTCGAGCGTTCTAGGATCTTCGAGCATTATAAACTCAAGTAGAGCCTTTTCATGATCAGGTCTCCAATTATTTGGTAACGGGGTGTAATCGGTCTCAGGGACAAGAGACATCCGGGTGAACTTAAGGCCATCGATCGACTCAGCAAGGCCCATCCTCAGAAGATTGTGGTACTCAGGCGATTGCCCTTTTTTCTCTTTCAATGGGCGGCTGAGATTCCGAGCCCCAATCTTGTAAACTTTCGCTCGTGAACGGAGTTTGTATTTCGCAGCATAAAGCTTTGCAAGCGAACCTCTTAGGATGTAAGAGCAAAAGTTTACCACTTTCCTCCTATTGTCTGCATATCTGTACCACTCAACAATGGTTAACAAAAACTTATTCATTTGTGAATTTGTGTGAGCTTGTGTGGCATGAAACATTCTAAAACAAGGCTGTGGATCAGGATCCCTATCACCCTTTAGAAAGTTCAGCCTCCTGAATTGCTTAATGCATTGTTTCAGGCTTGCCGTGACCGAAAGGAGAGTACCAACACCTTTCTCGCTAATGATCTTACCACCAGTAGCAGTATACCGAAGTGTTGGATACACGACTCTTCGACAAAGCACGTGATCTAGAAACATGATACCCTTGGTAATGTGTTCAATGGGAAGGCACTCATTGTCAAGCTTGAGCATATACTTCTGATCACAAAACTCAATCAATTGCTTTCTTAACGTTGCTGCATCAGCTCTAGGTCCTCGAATACCAATCAGAATATGACCTCCATACCGAACGTAGTCCATCTTCCGAGTCTTGTCTGGACCACTTGTCGGTACAAATTCTGGCCAAGATGTATTTCCTTGATCTGCTTCTCCTTCAGGACTATTCCATATGACATCACTCTTAGATGGAGAATAGAAGTCCTTGATCCTTCCCTCCATCCAGTGGTCCAATTCATCTAAACATATATTGGCCAGAAGAGGGCTAAGTATCCCACAGTGTCCCCATGAAGGATTCTTCACCGCCTCTTCAGGAGCGAAACCAAAAAATGTCTCCAACCAATATGGATCAGGCTTCGGCTCATCGTCAGCTAATACTCTCTTCTTCTGATACTTCCTTTTCTTCTTCTTCTTCTTTTCCCCTTCATCGATATTGCTCGTTATAACCGGTGTAACCAAAGCAGCTTTAACTAAATCAATCACCTTTTTATCTCTTATATCTCTCATCAAAGCATTTATCACCATCCCTACCTTCATGCCATCTAAAATTGTACTTAAATCACCTTTCACATACCATAAATAACCAGCAAAATGCCTCCTAATTACGCGCAGCACTGTATGTGCATTCCTCCCAGGCCTAAATGCATACGACTTGGGTGAAAACCGAGCTTCGTATATTGGTTCCAGAATCATAAACAGAACCTCTTGAACAATTTTATCTTGAAATGCAGCAGGCTGCGTTGTTGTCAAGATAGCCTTTATCTTCCTCTTTGACAACGATTCATAATCCGTCTTATCTTTTGGAGATTTTATGAAGAACTCCAATCTTGCTCCCCATTTGAACTTACTATCCAGAACTGCATTTCTAAGCGCCAGTAAATCTTCCAGTGCTGACCTTTGTATTGCATTTCGAGGCATGTAGGCGCCCATATCATCCGCACAAACTTTCTGGTACGCCAAAACCCATAATTCAAACCTCCGAAGATACGTGGTCAAATTGGAAATGATCCTATCCGGTTCCCGAAAATTCTCAATCCACATCTGGGAACAAACAGAGACTCCATCTTCCTTCATCAAGGTGGACGGATCATCAGGACCAGGCGTACGACGGTGCGCCGGAACAAATGAAAACACCCTACACACTGAAAATCCATGGAAACTAGGGTTCAGAGGATTCAGCTTGGAGAACAGAAGTCCATTGCTAGTTCCGACAACTCTGGAACTCAAAAAAATCCGACGAGCAAATATGGAAACGCCCCGATGCATCTAGTGTAGAACGCTAAGCTCGATCTTTTATATCATATCTCGGGAAGAATTTCACGAATCATCAATCCAAGAACTCGTATGAATCAATAAAGCATGGAAATTAACACAAACCCTAACTGAAGCAGTTCAAAGAAAGTGATTGAAATGCAACAAAAGTTTATTCAAGCCTGCGCTAACGGTATCAAACCCTGTGGCGGCGGTGGCTTCGACTGGAGAATGGTACCGTAGCGACGAAGAACCAAAACAACACGGCGAAGGAAAAACCCTTTCGCTTAAACCCTTCTGGTCGAAGTCGCCGTTTGTAATTTTGTATTTTGCAGCAATACCCTTCAACTCCGCTGTATTTATTATATTGCAATTTACAATTTTTGGTTTATTATTTATTGTTTATAATTAATTAATTATTAATTATTGATAATTAAATTATTAATTTTGCCCCTACTTCGTGAACTTATAAATTAAAATATGAAAAAAAAAAAGCCAAATCGGTTGTTTTTATAATGATATTAATTAACCATTTAATTTAATTTATACTTATTTATTATAATTTTATCTCTCATGTAAAATTTAAAATACATGAAAATATGTTAAAAACATGCTCGGTCATATACGCAAATAATCATATAGTTCATCAATCAAAATCAAGAGATCTTGGTGGTCGATCACCCGAAACATACTATTAGAAACCGCTTCTCACTAACTATTGTTGGTTGGATACTAGATGCACATAATGTATAACTTTTGCCATGAAAATAATTATGAGCGGAATATACATAATCATAGTAATAATAATAATAATAAAAAAAGAAATATTCAAACCTCGTCGGAAATCTCGCTTGGATTTAAAATTATGTTAGGTTTAATTTCTATTTTATTTAAATAGATTTATTATGAATTTCGAGTGAAGCGTCACTCATTAGGCTAAGAAAATTAGGGGTGTTACACCTCATGTGACAATTAGTAGTTGATTACTTCAAACAAACCGCGTATAACCCTTACCACACTTATTACATTAAACAATTATAACATGCACATATGTGGTCCCAAAACATTTATTTATCATGATTAATAGGCATCAAAACAAACAACAAACATCCTTACAATAACATACACATACACATCCAACCGTATTTCACCGAAAAAAACGGCTTTGTTTCAATAAGAAAGTCCCTTTTCGTATATTGGCCTAAGTGTCACGGTCCTACATTTTGACCGTGTGGCGCTGTGATCTTCTTATTGAAACAAAACCGTTTGTTTCGTATTGAACCACTTATACACAATTGTTTGGTTGTGACACGGTGCATGAACAATTCCAACTGTCATACATTCGTCACCTGCTTAACCTAATACGGAAGAGTTAAAGATTTTGTCGATAGAAGAGTTATAGAGAATCGATAGTAGAGACAAAAATGGTATGCAGTTCATAACCCAAGAGCGAAAAATGTCGGGTTTGAAAATTGAATGACTAAAATATTACGAAATTTAAATTTTATGGAACAAAAAAGTGTGTTGGTGAAGGACGAAAATGTAAATTTCAGCTTATTAGAAAAATCATGGAATAAAAAATTGGGAGTGAGAAGGAACCGAGAGATACAAACCGATTCGACCCGACCCGACCGACCCGACCCGTTTATTCACAATTGAGATCCTTAACGAGCAGTGGGAAACTGAAAGCAGAGTCCAGATCAAAGAAAGAAAGAAGGAACTGGGCCAAAAGGGAGAGTTTCCATTGCAGCTGACCTCGACCGAAATCTCCATCTCCATCTCCATCTCCATTCCGTAATTCTTCCTCTGTCGGAAAGGTAAACCAGAGATCTCTCCGGAAATGGCACCGACGTCGGCTCTGGCGAAGTATAAGCTGGTCTTTCTCGGAGACCAGTCTGTTGGGAAAACCAGCATCATTACACGCTTCATGTACGACAAATTCGATAATACATATCAGGTAATTCCCTGCTGAATCCTTAATTGTTTAGATCCTTGTTTGTATCACACGTTGCGGCCGGATCGGTTCGGATACTGTTGATCAATGCCTGATCCTGTTGTTTCATCTTTAATTTTGATTCCTCTTGTTTCCATCTGCAGTTTTCTTTGATTATATGCGGTTTTATTTTCTGTTGTGTCTCGTTGTGTCATTGAGGAGGTCGACAATTCCGTGTTTATGGTTTCAGATCCTTTGGTTTTTTCTTCTTAGGCGATCAGCATTTTCCTTCCACACTCTGTATTTATTTCAATATATTAGTTCTTAGTCGAGAGTTCAGTAATCAAGCAGTGTCTTAAGTCTATGATTCTGACCTTGCTGCTTCCGGGTGAATGATGTTCAGAATTTAACGCTGTTGGCTGTCAACACCATTAGTCTTTAGTACTAGTTTATTGGGTACGCCTTGCAGAATTGGATCGAAATGAGGAGAAGGGAGGGTTTTCGTTGATGCCTTTCTTTCAGCTAATTTGAATCTAGACCATTATTCTAGAATCATGATCTGACTTCGTGCTAACTTTTGTGGACTGAAAAGCTTTTTGGTCTTTACTTCCCATATTTTAATTTGTTGGATTATTTGAAGAATAGTTGGCTGACTTCGTACAAAAAAAAAACCACTGTTACATGTCCTCGCATGCCTAGTATTTTGTCCCTACCTCATGGAGTTGGGTGAGCATTGCCAATAATCCAACTGCTACCAGATGTGTCTTCGGTTATTGTAACTGCATTGACAGCACAACATGATAAGTCCTGTATGGTTTTTGACTATTGGGACATTTTTGTCACTGCTTCTATGGGGAACAGGATATATAGAGGAAGCCGATTAGGAGTGATTGATGTTCAGTGGACAGGTGGATTGTGCTACTGATTAGTTTCCAAGTTAATAAGAACTAAGAAGATGCTAGATTCATCATGTTGTTGGGTTATCTCAGCAATAATTTTCTTAAATATTCTTTTGATGATGTTCTTTTCAATGCATCAATTTGAGGTTTTTACATTAAGCCTTTCGGGATTCTGTTATTTGTTTAGTCTTGACCAAGTGGAAATGTATCATAATTACATCTAGATCAAATGGGTGCATTATCTTCCATCTTTTGTATTTCCTTTTTGATAATGAATGGTAGATATATAGTTCCATCTCTCTCTCTTTCTTTTGTCTTCTTTTTTTATCTTTTGTTGGATACAAAGTTCTTTCAAAATTTCAGTTGCAATTTTATACCACACATTCACTTCTTGCAATATATAATTATGTACCATTGTTCAGGCTACAATTGGCATTGATTTTCTCTCAAAAACCATGTATCTGGAAGATCGTACTGTTCGACTGCAGTTGTGGTAAGATAAATTACAAATTTATGGTTGTTCATATATAGATGACTGCTTCTATTGGTTTTACTTATTCACATTACTCTTCTAATTCAATCACATTTTTGTGTTGTATATAAATCATGTGATTTATTTATCCTTGAGAATTGAAGAACTTATGTGATTTATTTGCTTCAGTCCATGGTATAAATGATACATTTCAACAACGGAAACAAGCAAACAATCCAGTATAGCTATTCCTCCTAGATTTAAACTATTCTCCTTTGAAACTTGAAAATAAATTTAAAGGTGTAGTCCTTGGGGGAGGAAATCCAAAAAGTCTGCATTTGGAATTCCTTTTTGGAGGAAAATTCTAAAAAATGATTGAACTAGTTTGCTGCTTTAGTCTGTAGAGGTGGGGGTGCTCATTTGCGGCAATTAATACTTTCATAGTATTCCCAATAAAGTTGTTAGAAATTTGAAGATATATATTAAAAAATTCTTTTGGGAGGGATCAAATGGAAAGTGCCGGACCACCTTATTGGATGAAATGTGGCCTCTAACATAAAATTAATTCTCTTCTTTAAATATGGTTGTGGAGGTTTCATAGGGAGGGAGCCCAATTTTTTTATGGGATGGAATTAATGAAAGTAATATTTGCTTCTCTGAAAAGCTCACTAGTTGTTTTTATTCCTCAGATAAAAGTTCTTGGTCTCACATCACGTCATTTATGTATATGGACAAGATTGAAAATATGAAATGTACAAAAATAGAGGAGCAAAGCCTCAACAACCCTGGCTAAGGAAGTTATGAAAAAAAAGTCTTCCAATTGGCACAAAGAGAAGAAAACACATGTTAAAAGTAAAAGGTTTGTACAAATATGAATAGGGCAATGCCCCAAAAATAATTTGATCCCATGAAACGAAAACAACCTTTAGAAGGATTCTATTATTTCTTTCCAACCATGAATTCTAAATAAAAGCTCCAATAAAACTCATCTCCATTGTCAGAAATGGGTAGTCATTTTATAGTTTCTTGGCTTCTTTTTGGGCCTCTCTCGCTAATCTTCAGAACTACCGTGCTATCTTTCTGAACATGGCCAATTGGAGACCTTATTTTTCCTTTTAACTCCTAGGCCTGTTCAATTTGTGCCTGCCACTCGAGGATGAAAGGAGATACAGAAAAAGCTGCACGAAGTTAATAAGAAAACTGCAGAATAAAAAAACTTCAGACAACTAGAAGGAACTAATTAGTTTCTATAGATAATATCATCTAGAAACTAAGTAACAAGCAATGTTTAATGTATCTTTGCCATCTGTATATTTTCCATCAAATAAAAAAAAAATGTTACAGGTGCGCTAATCAAATTTTTCCTTTGTTTTTGATAGACACATCTTATAAATTAATGTATCAATTTTGACTTCTTTTCACGTATATTTATGATACTTCTCATTCTATTTAATTGGATCGACTTTCATATTTGTCTTTTCCGGAAGAATGGGTTTTGCTGTACATTTATAAATTTTATGTTGCTTTGTTTCTCAGGGACACTGCTGGACAGGAAAGATTCAGAAGTCTAATACCAAGCTATATCAGGGACTCATCTGTCGCTGTCATTGTTTTTGATGTTGCAAGTATGGAATCTGAAATTTTCTATTGAATGAGAATAATTAAGTAAACCAATTGAAAGTGTGTATTCTTCGGTGTTGTGATAAAATATCTTGTATACTCTTGGGGTGGATCTGGGATCTAATATCCAAAGCCTTTTTGGTCCTTAATCTCATATAGTTACTCGATTACATGCTGTGGAGTTAATTCTGTGCCATGATGTGGTCAAAGGATTATTTTGAACTGTTTTTATCCTGTTGTTACTTAGGCCGGCAAACTTTCGTAAACACTTCAAAATGGATTGAGGAGGTGCGCACTGAGAGGGGCAGTGATGTCATTATAGTGCTTGTTGGGAACAAAACGGACCTTGTGGAGAAGAGGTAATAGCTAACCGTGGATTTTTATTTCGTTT